TTTTTTTTTTAAATTTCCGCTACCTTGCCACTGGTATGTGTGGTCAGGTGCAACTTGTCGTTGATTGTTACATCGTCACGAAAGCCGAGTGATCAGGTGTTATAACCCGCAAGTAAATATGCATAAATAACTGGTATTTAACTAGTATGAAAAATTAAAACAGAAATGTAAGATGAACTAGAGTGTGTGAAAAAGCAAACTAGTAACATTCTAATTAATAACTAGAAAATTTCTCAGCACGGCACTTCGTATTTTATTTCGAAAGATCATGCCATAACCTTAAGACGATTTTTTTCTGAAATTTCGGCTAAAGATTGCCTTGTCCTACAAAGCCGTAAGCGTAGGTGGAAGAATCCATCGCTTACATCGAGGTATAAGAAGTGTGATACTTTTTATGAAAATATTTTTTTCTAAAAAAATTTTAAGCAATTTTATTTCTATCTTTATACGAAAACATAAATTTCACTGCAATGTCAGGGCAACATAAAGTCTTTAAATGTTAAAGAAAAAAATTGTGTTGAAATATGCAAAAATTTAGCTGCAGCAATTGAATGCAAAAAGTTTGTAAAATAAATTGAAGGCGGAGAATAAAAATAAGTGGATTTAAAATTATTATATTATATATTTTACGTATGGAGTGTAAAGGAAAGTGCGAGTTATGCAAAAGTTTATTACATAAGGCTTACTTTCTACTCTAGTTTCTACTTTAAGAGCAATGTTTAAATATTAAAATTAGAGCTCAAGATTTTGTTCGAACATTTTCGAGTAGTTCGAACAACTGAACCACGAGTACTCACACACTCGTTCATTGCTCAGTGCTCAATTTCTAGCTTTTTGGTGCATTTTTAATAACAAATTTTGAATTTTATATTTATTATTTATTTATGCGAGTGTGTAAAGTGCGAAATTGGTTGTTAGTATACCAAATTATAAAAAAAATTGAAACTTGAAAAATTTCAATCATGCATTTGAGCAGTCAAGCAATGAACGAGTATCGAGCTGCTCGCACCACTCGATACCTGGCTACATAGAGCTCTAATTAAAATAATTCTTCTATTTATGTATTTCTAGTGGGAATTCTTTTGCTAAAACTTAAAGAACATTTTGAATTATAGAGCATTTTATAATAATTGTTGTAAATAATATTGCAAATCGCTACAAACTGCACTGCACACTTTAACCGGATACAAAAAAAAACAGAAAATTGTGAAAACAAAAAATTCATCAAACAAATATTTTTAACTTCTCTAGCATTCTAAGTGCAAATTCATCACTACAGCGATCCACTAGTTCGATATGTTGCCGTTGTAGGTGTTATTCAACAGCCTAAACAAATAAAATCAAACCAAAAATTCATTAAAAAATAAATGAAACAAATCTAATATACATAAGTACACTGCAATAAAAAAAAAACTCAAAAGCACAGAGTTGAAAAACTCGTTTACATACAAATGAACGTATTGATAAAGTTGGCCATTCGTGAGCCTAAAATTTCAATGGATGATCTTTCCTGTACTGCCGCATCGGCTATCCAGTTGAAACGTTGATCGCAGTATATATCGCCAATATTACGGAGTTAAACACATACATATGTATGTATTTCCACACATATTTATATACATATTTATTACATGTTTGTTGGTATTGTAGACGTTGTTGTAGTTGTTGTTATTGTGCAAGTACAATACAATTTAAGTATATTTAAGTGTTGTTTGCATGTAGTTTATATTAGATTTGTAAAATATGAGTATAAGAAAAGGAATATGTTTTGTTAGTGTTTATTAGTAGATTTTAATTAGAGTAGAAAATTTAGTAACTACGCATGTATGTGTGAGTGTATATGTGTAGTCATATGTTTGTACATATCATATAAGTGATGAGTTCATGAATTATATATTATCAATTCCGCAGCGCGTTGTTGTATCAGACGGGGAAATAAGAAAAATTACTATAAGAATACAAAGCTACGCTCATACTTTAGCGTTAAATATTAAAAAAAAAAAAAAATAGAATCATTTAATTGTATGCCTGCTCTAAAGTACAAATCTCTATATTTGCTTTCTTCAAAAGTAATTTATTCAAGCTGTTTATTTGCATTTAGTTCCATCTCGTTTTATTACTTTAATGAAACTGAACGTGGTACAGTAAATCGTTGCTGAGCGACGGTAGGAAAAAAATGATAAATGGAACTAAATCACTTTTTGGCACTGTAAAATCTCAGTTTGACAAAATTTATATTTAGAAGTCTCATAGCACATTTTAAACAACTGATTTTTTTCTTTAACGTAATTTAATATTTCCATATTTTGATATATTAATTTTTTCCCCTTTTTCATTTTCTACTTTTAGTGCATTTTTAAAGCTACAATTTGACAGATTTTGTTAATTTTGAGTTCTATTTGAAAAACTTTCTTGTTGATTATTTTCTATTTGTTTAATATTTATTTTTTTTTTGTTTTCATTTTTTTAATTCCTTTGATTATTTTAACATGATCCTAGTTTTTATTATTACTAATTTCATTTTCATAAGTTTTTATATACATAATTACAATTTATTTTTTTTAAAATTTATTAAAACATTTATTTTATATTTTATTTTATGGCTTTTCCGTTAAACTTTTCATTCTTAAATATACAATTTTTATTAAATTTAAATTTTTTTAGTATTTCTTTATATTTCAACATTTTTTTATATTAGATTTTAAAATAATTTTCTATATTTTAGTATTTTAATACTTTTTATATTTTAATTCTTTTTTAAATTTCAACATTTTTTTTTATACTTTAATATTTTTTATATTACATTATTTTTTAAAATATTATATTATATTTTAATATATTATATTATTTTTCAAATATTATATTATTTTTTTATATTTTAATTTTTTTTTATATCATAATATTTTTTTATATTATAATATTTTTTTATATTTAATATTTTTTTGATAAACAATATTTTTTAATATTTTGGTTTTCTTTAGTGCCTACGGTCTGAATCAAAAAAAAAATAATATTAATTAAAACATTTTATTTATATATGTATGCATATATGATATTGTTACTGCTTTAGTTAGTTTGATTACCTTCTTCTCTTTTATATATATTATATTCTCCTAATATTTCGAATTATGATAATTTTACTATTTTTTCTAAATTTATTTATTTGTTATTTATTAACTTTTATAATTTTCTTATTATATTTCATTTTTTTATTATCTAATATAATTTATATTTTTTTTATTATCTAACATAATTTATATTTTTTTTTATCTAATATAATTTTTATTTCTTAATCTATTTTATATTCTTTTTATTAATTTCATATCCTTTTTTTATTTCTTATTCTATTGTATTTTATATTCTTTTTATTAATTTCATATCCTTTTTTATTATATTTTATATATTTTTTAGTTATATCTGCAATTTTTAACATTTTTTTATATATTTATATATTTATATATTTTTTATATAATCAATATTTCTAATTATCTCTTATAATTTTTAATATTTACAAGTTTTATATTATTTCATATTGGTTTTTTCATAATTTTAAATACATCTTTTTGATTGTATTATATTTAATATTGTTTTATAACATTTTATAATTTTAATTAATTTTTATAATTTTTTATCTTTATTATATGTATATTTTCCTTATATTTATTATTAATCAATATTATGTTATATAATTTCTTTTGATGTATTTTAATTCCCTATACTTCATTTCATCTTAATTTCACTTTGTTTTCTAATAATTTAATTTTTGGTTCTCTATTTGTTTAATTTTTTCATTTTCATTCTTAAATATTTCTTTGTAGAATTATTTTCGAATATTTTTAATTTCCTTATAACTTTTTGTTTTATTTTCAGTACTATTATTTTTAGTTAAAAATAAATCGTTTTCGTATATGCAATGACCCACTGTACCGCGACGTACATCCCACAAATGCAATATGCAGCTATTTGTAAATATGCGTGAATATATTTGTGTAAATGAATGTGTGTAAGATGTTGATATTTTCACGACGAAGATGTGGACATATATTAAAGCCCATATATGGATGTAACGTAAACAAGTAAACAAGTATTGGTTGAAGGAGGAAAAAAGTCGAAAAGAATTGTATATGCCGATTGGCTAATGATCGAAGAATGTGCATTTACATTTTAAAATTTCAATACACTTATTTGCATACGAAATTGTTTACAAATATGATGATAAAATAAAACCAAATTGTTGAAATACTTGTCTTCTTTTTAGCTGATATGAATTTTTGTGGGCGCTGCTCATCATAAAAAAAATAATACAAATTTACAACGCGTATGAATTAAGTTTATATATATGTGATTTATATGTTCATATGTCTGATTGTTATTTTTTATGAAAACGTAGATTTTTTATTTCCGTATTTATTTGAAAAAAAAAAAAAAATTATGATATAGACTCTTTGATTCATTGTAAATTTGCTTGGATTTGAGGAAATTTTACATAAAAGCTGCCTATAAGTAATATAATAAGTTAATGAAAAGTTTCGGAAATATATGGAGCAACTTACTGTGTGAAGCGAAACACATGTTGAAAATGTTTGTCGTTAACTACATACTTTATTATTCAACTTTTCACGGTACCCTAGCTAAATGGCTGAAATTTTCAATTTCTGCAATGCAACTTGCACTATTTCCTATATTTTATTTATATGAACAAAAAAAATCGAAAAGATTAAAAAATGTTTATATTTTTTTATATCTCTTTATTCAAATCCTTTAATTCCTCTATCTTCTAATTTCCAACATAACCTAGAAAAGTTTAACCCACACCTTTCTAATTTTATTAGTTACAACATAACATACCTCACTTAATGAAATCTTATCACAATACACAATGAGATGCATTATAAACACTCAGAGAATGAAAATATGTGCATTAATTGTTCAATCAGTTCAGGCATACACACGAGTAAGTACATCATAAATAGAGACAGTAGTGCTCTCACCATACATACCTTCTAAGAGTTTAACGAAATTATCCGGAAATACGCCAACTTTGCCATGCAGTTCGCCCTTCCACCAGCCCCTATCCGGCAGGTCCGTGCTGATGATCGTTATGATTTCACCCACTTTCAAATCCAGCTCATCGTCATTTTGCGGTGTATATGGAAACTCAACGCGACAATATTCCCGTTGCGGTTTCGGTGGCAACGTTGGTGCAATATCATCAAAAACGCCAGCTTGACTTGAGCTTGTTGTGGCAGATGCATTACTAACGCTACTAAGGCTACAATTCAATAGATCCTCCTTCGAACTGTGAAAACTAATACGATTCATTTTCTTCGTTGCTGTTGTTGTTGCTGTGGCTGTCGAACTGACGTTGGTTGTAGCAGAAGAGCTTGTGCTAGTTGTTATATTGGAACTATTACTGACGCCGACAATATTCGACTTATCCATTGATGTTGATGCAGTTGCCGCCGTTGATGCTGCAGAATTACTGGCAGTTGTTACTTTTCCTATTGACGATTGAGCAGTCGTTGTAGCAGTAGGACCCGCTGCTGGTCTTTTACTAGCAAATATAGGTGATGGTTCAATTACGGTAACAAAATTTGATGGAAATACACCGATTTTATTTTTTAAACGTCCACGCCACCAGCCTTCCTCGACCTAAGTGAAGGAAAATGAAAAGAAAAGTATATGAAAATCATGTGGAAAATGTGAAAATTCTATGAATGAGTGGCGTATTTATGTTTGAGTGCAAACACAGTGACAACAACAGCGCGAATAACTATGTTCTTATTGAGTCTTCCAACATTCGGTTTTCTCTCCACATACAAGCATAATCGTAACGGTTCAAGTGACGTAAATGTTTGCTATTATCATAGTTGTTGCTGTAGCTGTGTTGCCACATAGTGGTTGACTAACTGACTACTTATACATATGTATTTATTTGTATTTTAGTATACAAACCTCCCCAAGGAATTCAATGACATCACCCACGGCCAGCGACAGCTCGTCGTCATTGACTTGTGTGTAGCTGAAGATGACTTTACAACGGCGATTGACTGTGGCGGCTTTGTCCCTGCAAGTGAAATGTCGTATTTAAGTTGAGAAAATACGAAATAATGAGCGTAAAAATACACTGTGCGTATGACGTATGGCAACATGTGATAAGAGAGAAAAAGTGAGTTTGAAAGAAAATCTTGAACTTCTTTAAAATGAATTTTTTCCATTTTTATTTTTAATTTTTTACATAAAAAAAGCTAAAAAAAAGGAATTTCTTTCAATGTGCTCTTATCACATGGGCACTGCTTGTGCCGCTGCCGCTTTAATCTCAAACAAACCTTATTGTGACTTTATTTTCGTCGTCGCTATTATCAACAACCCGTACAAAATTATCAGGAAACATGCCCGTTTTGCCGTTAGATTGCAGTGTACCCTGCCACCAACCACCCGGCATTTGTTTAACGCTGTGTATCAGCGCCCCTTTAACTAGATCCAACTCATCGGGTTCCTTGGCTTCGTAATCATATTCGACAATGGCGGAAACTGTAAAAAAAAAAACAAAATGTGAGTATATGTTTTTATAATTTTTATTAATTATAGCTAAATAATTAAATTTTTTTATATTAAATTAACATAAACAACAGTTAAAAATCAAATTAAAAAAAATATAAGGAAGCGATTTTATGTTCGCCGAATACGGGGCAAGCGATGGAATAAAAAAAATCCTTTTCAATATTTTCACCTGCAAGACGGATACTATGCTATTTATACTCTCATAAAAAAATTTTCTCTTTATGATAATTTTTTTATCCCCCAGACCTGTTTTAATTTTTGGAAGCAGATAATAAAGCACTCGATGCCAGATCTGGACTGCAGGGTGAGGAGACTCAAAAATATCGTCATGCTGTGCCGTTTTATGCTACTGCATCGAGTCTTGTTTCGACTTAGGTTAATAATGATGAATCCAAGTTTCGTCTCCAGTAACAAGCCGATTTAATACAATAACCTTCTCTTCATTAAAGAGGTCCAAATATGCAAAAGACCCTTTACACGCTGTTGATTTTGAGGAGGCGTTAGCATTTTTGGCACCCATATTGCGCTGTCCCTAGTCATACCAAGATGACCGTTGAGAGTTTTAAAACTGGCTGTATCGAATACTCTAACCTTTTCTGTGTGTCGTTTCTTCTTTAACAAGAACATTTTTTTCAACATTTCGAATAGGTTTTGGCATGGTCACCTCGTTGCTTCTGCCCGTCTTCGGGTCATCTTCAAGGGATTCCCTTCATTGTTTAAATAAACTGTGCTACATGAAGATCATGAATTATCCCGACAAGTGTCGCCGCAAACCAATTACAACTCATTCCCTATGGTCCCAACTGATTTTCCTTGGTTGGTAAGGTACTTTGGGGTGTAGTTTGTTACATTTGCGAGGCTATACTCAATTCCTAGTTTTGCGTCCACGTCGCGCGCCCTGGTAACGTGAGAAACCCTTGAGCCACGGCTAATGAGAGAGGAAGCTTAAATGGAGCCACTCCGACTTATTCGGTTTAAGAGTCCGCTGAAGTCTAATTGCAGCGTCTGTTCACCAGAGAAACTTACTCGCCTAGCGATATTGTGCGCTGGGTTTGGGAGCCGCCACGTAGAAACCAGCTTCAATGAAAAATTTAACAACACCTCGGATGAGATTTGGTTAAGTATCCTTAACAACGCCTATAAGGTCCTGTAGAGCGTGTTGTGTGAAAAACTAAAGCCCACCGTCAACAAACTGATTAGAGTTTGTCAGTGTGGCTTTAGCCTTTGATCAGATGTTCACCATGAAAAAAGGATCGACACTCACCACCTCTTCGTCGATTTTAAAGCCGCCTACGACAGCACGAATAGGAGCTGCCTTTATGCGACTATATCTCAATTTGGTATCCCCGTAAAACATACTTAAACATATTTAAACTGACGTTAAGTAAAGCTAAAAGCTCTGACAGGATCGGGAAGGATCTCAGACGGTGAAACAAACAAGGTTTCAGACAGGGTGATCGCTTACCGTGTGACTTTTTTAACTTCTTGCTGGAAAAAATAATAAGAGCAGCAGAGATGAATAGAGAAGGTACTACTCTTCTATAAGAGAGTACAGCTGCTGCCGTACGTCGATGATATTGACATTATTGGCCTCAACAACCACGCCGGGAGTTATGTTTTCTCCAGACTGGATAAGGAAGCGAAGCATATGGGCCTGGTTGTGAACGAGGGCAAGATGAAATATCTCCTGTCATTACATAAACTGTCAACGCATTCGCGACTTGGCTCACATGTCACTGTTGACAGTTTTAACTTCGGAACTTGAAATCCAGCGCAGAATCAGTCGGCTGCTACTTTGGACTGAGCAGGCTATTGAAAAGTGAAGTCCTACTCCAACGAGAAGTACAGTTGCTATATGGTCGATGACAACATCTGATGAGTCGGCATTAGGAGTTTTTGAGAGAAAGGTTTTGCGTAAGGTTTATAGTCCTTTGCGCGTTGGCAACGGCGAATATCGCAGACGATGGAGCGATAAGCTGTACGAGTTATACGGCGAAATTGATATAGTTCAGCGAATCGAGAAGCAGCGGCTACGCTGCCTAGGTCATGTGGTCCGTATGGATGCCAATACTCCAGCTTTGAAATTTTTCGATGTAGTACACGCCGGTGGAAGCCGAGTGCCAGGGAGACCTCCACTCCGTTGGAAAGACCAGGTAGAGAAGGACCTGGCTGTACTTGGTATTTCCAATTATCGGCAAACAACGAAAAAGAAGAAATGTATGGCGGAATGTTGTTAACTCGTATATAATGACGTAAGCGGTGTTTAAGCCTATAAAGTAAGTAAGTAAGTAAGGAACTTTACAACGGCACGGTATTCGATTTTTTCCATAATTCACTTTCCGTCCCTGATTATATTGTGCTGCTTTGTTCTCGATGACACCTCGCATTTATACTAATTATGAGTCGCTAAAGACGTAACGATCCTAACAAGTCTCATCCCCCGTCTAGAACCCTATCATTTCACAAACATACAAACGCTCCCTTCTAAAAGTTATGATCATATGTTAAATACGAGCTAAATGGTGTGAATTAAGTGAATAAGTTAATTGATAACAAAATATTTATTATCAACACTGTTATATGGGTGTGCACAAAACACCGTGAGCGTCTTGTGCGTAATTGTTTCTTATTTTCGTTTGCCAAGTTACCACGCAATTAAGCATGGATGGCAAGCTCGACGTCAATTAAACTAAACGAAGCCACAAATAAAATGTGCTGAGCAAGATAAAAGCCCTGAAATAATTGTGTTCTACATGAAAGTCGATGGATACAACAGGGTGTTACAAAATGTACTGTGACTATTTTTTAAACCGAAGAAATGTGTACCTTTGATCAGCGCCTGGAGCATACACTTATGAACGCTAACCCCGCCACCAAATCCGAATTGAGCTTGGCGTCTCTAACGTTAGGAACAAAACAGTCTGAAAATTCGGTCTCTATCCTGTGACATCTCAAATATGTTGAGCATGATCAACTTCGCTGGGGTGAAAAATATGGTTAGATTCCAGCATAAGACAATTTATAAAGCTACTTGGCTTGGCGCAGCTTGGAAGTACTCGAACCATGGTCGTGGCTCGACCAACACCCAAAATGGAAAAGTAATTTTTCTAATTGCTGTTTGATAGGTGGCAGACATGTCTCGTTTATCTTAGATGTTCGTGGTCCTTACATAAACTCGGAGCACTATCTTGCGGCAGTAAAGATACGCGCCCAAGTCTGTACAGCAGGAGATGTTGCCCGTCAACAAACGCAGGGAAGGTTTGACGCTGAAAAGCTGCAATAACAACAGAGAGTCAAACGCTTTTTGTAGAGGTTAAAAGCAATAGGCCAAAATGCGTAAGTGAAAATTTTATCAAAAACTTCGGCACCTTACAGGCTTCCAGATCAAAGCATGCTGTAGGCATCAAGGAGATAATCTAGTGACCAATATCCAGGGTATAGTGAATTTATGATGGGTCACTTATCTCTCTAATTGTAGTGAAAATGAAACACTAAGAGAAGACGAATTGGGTTCATCATTCAATGAAGAGTGAACAAGACGTTACATTACCCGGATATGAAGAAGTCCGAATCTTATTTGCTTGCCTGTAGAACTACAAAGTGGCGAGAGCTGAGGGTTTGCCGATGGCGCTTTCAGGATATGGTGATATAGAACTGACAAGACATTAGCTTCTTTACAGAATATGGTCAGGCACAAGCAAGCCTGGCGATTGATATTGACATCTTGATATTGACATCATGATAGATCGTCATCACAACTTTGAAGTCGTAGATAATCCATCATCTATCTTAAAACCAGTATAAACACTAAGCAAAACGTCAACCATGAAATCCAGCGTAGCTTCACTTTGGTCTGAGTAGGCAACTGAAAAGTAAACTCCTATCCCCATCATAACATACCATACAGAAATGTGCAAGGTGGCAACATATGATGCGTCGGCGCTTGAAATTCACGAGAAAATGGTTTTACGGACCCGAGTTATACGAGAAATACCGAAGGCAGTGACAAGTTCAACGAATTAAATGAAAGCGCTTGCGCTGACCAGGTCAGTATAGACGACGACACTGAAGCTTTGCAAGACCCTCTACTTGGTGTATCCAATTGACGTCGAACATCTAAGAGAAGAAACGAATGGTGCGATGTTATTAACTGGGCTCTGTAATCGTATAAACGGTGTCCGTGCCAATAAAGAAGAAAGAAGAAAATTCAAACATAACAGGGAATACAAAATTGCTACATATTTATGAATGAAAAGCAAAAATGCTCTACAGAATCACCCTATAACTCGACGCACAATTCAATTTGCGCAAAGAAATTACTACACATAAATCGAATTAAAAGAGAATAAAAGAGATTACACGGCGCAGAGCAGATGTGTGGGGAATTCCTATTTGTTGACGGATTAAACCTAAGCAAATAAATTTGAAACCGAACCAATTCTGCAATTAGAAAATCAAGAACTGATGAATTTTCTTGGTTGTTTAACAAATATAAAAGTATATACATATATATAAAATATATAATACATACGTATTTTCTTAATTTTAGTATTATAATTAATTACAAACTGGTCACAACTGTTTTGATCATTCTAAGTTGTAAATAAAACATTTTTAGAAGTACATACAATTTTTTTTTTTTTTTTTTGCATAATTTAACAAGCAAGTGTGATCAGTTATCGCATGATGCATAAGTCACAGGCTATTTACCATTTACATACATACATACATACGTAAGCATAATAAAAATACTAATTTAACAAATTTGAGTGAACTACGTGAGACTATTGCCATTTTTCGTTGCAAACATACATACATACATACAAGCGTTGTACTTTACTTCCATTTCAAGATAGAATTTCCAATTTGAATTTCAATTAAAATTCTTAACTTACAGTGGCGCTTAAGTAATGAATTACTGTACTTGTGAGTACTTGTTACCAAATATAGTCTAACATATGTACGTTAAT